AAAATATTTCCTCGAGGAATTTGCTTGAAATTAGCCATTATGCATTTAAATAATCTCTTCCTATTAGGATTGTCAAGCAAATCAAAATGAATTTAAGTGAAGTAGAAACATTAAATTCAATTACTAACTCAAGTGAAGTTGGGGATATTTGGGAGTATCTCATCAACATTCGTGGTCTTCGAAGAACAGAACTGGAACTTCTCATTCCTATCAGTATTATATATACAATCATATTCACCCTCGGCTTCTTTGGAAATGTTATCCTTCTCTGGGTTATTTTGGTCAATAGATCTTTTCATACACCCATCAATTACCACCTTGTCAATCTCAGCATTTCTGATCTGCTCATCCTTGTGCTCGGACTACCCCATGATCTGTACATGATGTGGAATCGATATCCATATCCATTTGAGGAAGGAATTTGCCAGTTAAGAGCTTTCTTAGCTGAAGCCAGTATGATATCCTCTGTCCTCACAATCACTGTTCTCACAATTGAACGGTATGTGGCTATTGTTCATCCACTCTCTGGAGTAATAGCTGGGACAAAACGAAGGAACGGTTCTGATGGAACAGTCAGAAAGAAAAATGGAGATATTTTCAAATGCTGCAGGGAATGGGGGAGATTTAAGAAGGTTCGAATCACTGTGATTGTTGTGTGGATACTATCACCACTTTTTAGTCTGCCCATAACTATGCAAGTCGCTCTAAACTACATCTACAGAAATGACTCGACGACAAATTATGAGAAGGTGCTTATCGCAGAGTCATCTATTTGCACTGTTTCCGTAAGTATAGTCCAAATCTACCAGAATTACTTTGCAATTTTCGAAATTTCCTTTATGAATAAAAAACTGCAGTCTTTAGAATAATTCAATCGCAAATGCTATTGAATAAATTGCTTTTCTTTATTGATGTTTACGTTATAATTACTTTCATGTATCTAGTGGAGGCATCAAATTTATGTGTAATTTTCTACAAACTTGCCTATTAAATGTCAAAATGAAATTTAAAGGTGAAAATTCGGAATTGATTGCTCCACTTTTGGTTAACAAAGGATTCTACTATGAAGAATTCAACGGCCAAAGTGCACTTAAAACTTTAGGTAACAGTTCGGAATTTAAAGAATAATAAAAGAAAAACCTATTTTGCCCGATTAGTTTTAATTTGCCAATATACTTGTGGTAGTAGGGAATTAAATTATTTGTCAATATCTTATTTCAACGACGAAGCTAAAAACTACGAAAGCAAAAAAACCGAAAAGCATTCTACAAAATCCTCAGTTTCGGCCAATATCTGTGCATAATCTTAATAATTATGAACTTTTCTATTAGGCACATTCATTATTGAATGATTTACATAATAACTGTCTTCAACACTTTAAAGAAATTTAAAGCATTCGATGTCCATCATTCAGTTCGAGCACAAGTAAAAATGGAGCTAGAATATGTGCCAAATCTCGTCATTTAAAAAATTATTTAGTCCATTAGTCTAGTTCTTGGACTAAGTTGCCTAGTATTTTACCGTTTCAACAGTTGAGCTCTCATCTAGAAAACTGTGACTATACCTTCGAAAGGAGAGGCAGAAAAAGAGGAGAATAGATTGAATTAACCATATTGTACGAATTTTTCAATTCATTCTAATTTCGAATTAATCGATGCTTGTCAAATGTATCACTTGTCAAACGGTTTGTTTAAATTAGGTGTCAGTCCTGCTACCACAACTTATTAATACCAACTCACCTACAATGTGTGAAGCTGGAGCATTTTGCTTCGTAAATACCAAAGTTTCTCCATCAAAGAATTCTCCATGCCATTTACTGAAATATTGCAAAACGAAAATGCAAAGCCCAAATTCTTTCCACCGTTTGAGTGCATAGAGCAAGATGTTGTACCGATGCTTTTAGTTGTCTGCTGACGATCTGTTAAAAAAAGCTTTTAATATCTATTAGGCGTTTATGCGTTTGGGATTTTGAATGGATTTGCCACAAAGAAAACTCTCTTAAAGTAAATGAAAAAATAAGCCTGTTTCTTAGAAAGGACGGTGTCGTTTTGATAGCAGAATCTATAGTTTTTTTTCCATTTTCTTTCAACATTATCCATTCAACGTCATGTTAAAGCGAAACATATAATTCAAACATCATTGTCAACCTCAAAATCAACCACAAAAAATTCATTCCCATTCAAAATGTGAAATGCTGCAATCCATTGCAAATGGTTTACTTGTCTGTAAAATTTATGCAGTCTCAATTTGAAGTCTTTTTAGATAAGAATTCAATGTCCTCATTACACTTTAATACTCTGATTACGACTTATTAACACTTTGTAAAGAAAAGCAGTAAATAAATTTATTTTATAAAGGAAAACGTGTATAGTAGGTAAAGTATATTAATAATTAAAAACTTAACAAAATAAATATCTTAGCCTTCAAATATTTTATAGATTCAGTATATTATATATTCTCTGATTCTATCACTTTAGTTACAGAAAATAAAAAACTTAATAAGTATCTACTTTAGCATTTATTTTCGTATTTTATGGAAAACAACGTGTGTTTCATGTATAAATTATTACAAATTAATGTGGATTATTACTGATTGCGATCGTATGAATTTCGATTCCATTGGTCCTATATGATGACAGCGATTTAATCGGAAATATGATTATTGTTGACCATGAAACAATTTAAATGATCAAACCGCGTCTAAATAAAGTATCTAAACAAGGTTTAAAATAATTAGCAAGAAATGAAATAATGCCATTATATATTTCAGTTCACTTAAATATGTGGGCAGAAAAGCTTCATTATTTTCTGATGAGAGAATTTACATTCTAATTCCGTAAAGTTTGATCTGCATCAAGTGAAATCCACGTTCATTTTGGCTGGTTGAGGGGTTCATTCGTTTAACTGTGTCACACTGATCTATTTCATTATTTTGTTACCAAAGTCAGTAACTAGAATTTGATAAGGAAAAGGCGCATATTAGCTGGTATAAGTTGAGCTATTAGTTCTGGTACAGCCTAAAATTAAAAAATTGGTTCAATGCGAGCTGAAGTAAATAATAATGAACAGGATAGTGCAAATTGTATTTTGTTTATGGATTTTTAGGACTATTCATGTCTGCTAGTGTGTGCCTAATGCAAGCCATAGTCATCTGATACAAGAGATGCTATCTATTTGCTTTTGTTCTACTTTTGAGCTGTCGTTTATCACGAGATATTGCCCTATTTATCTCAATTTTTCATTCATTGCTGTATTATTAATTTGTAATTTTATGCGAGGTTTGTGAGTTGCTCTAATCACTGTTTTGTGAAACAAATATAAACTCAACCATAACCGAGAAGACTGAAAAATAATATTGAGGCCAATGCAATAAATACTTGATTTTAGTTTAAGCGAAAAAGAAAATATTTATACTTTTCGGCCAACATTCCATAAATAATGATTAAGGCTTTACTCACTCTGAGAACATGTACAAATGAAATTGTTTGGTGTTAATGCTTAGTAAATGTACATTGATTAAAATTATTATTTCAATTTCATGGTTCAGTTTGTGTGTGACTCAAATTCCATCTTGGAGATATTCTCCACTTTGCATATCACTACTTTTAAATCGCTTTTCTTACTAATATGCGAATTTATTTACTTTAATTTAATTTTAGTGTTCTGATTTGTTGTCTCAACGTCAATGTTTAAATATTATTCATTAGATTTATGCAATAGACTTCTTTAATGCAAGTATATTGCACGAAATATTAAAAAGGCGACTTTTATAGCTATTTCATATGTTATTCATCATTTCGTGGTCTTAATTCGCAAGTATAATTACAATTTTTCATAAAGTATTTAATATTGGCGATGGAGTTCATTGAAGTTTACATATTCTAAGATGATTCATTTTCCTTTAATTTAAAAATTATTCATGTAAATTTAACAGATTAAGGCCTTAAACATGTATGTCATCAAAATTGCCAATGCCATAATAAAATACTTCTTTTGGTTTAAAATTTGAGTTAAAAACGAAACGCTGATTTACTATGGTATAAAACGGTACAAATTTTATACAATTCATTCGCTTGGTTAATTTAGGGCAATTGGCTTCAAGCTTATTTAAATCAATTGTGCAAAATTTGAAATGGACGTAATGAAGCAATACTTGAACATTTTAACTGACGAAAAGTATTACACTATATTTTATTTGAGTTAGTCAAATTCTTATTTTTTCAAAAATCGATTGAATTTGGCCAACGATAAGGAAATTAGATCAAAAGAAAAAGTAAACTAGTTGAAAATAATATGCTGTGAAAAAAGACTCACGTTAATTAAATTTTTTATCCGAATGTTAGCCGATACTCATCAGCCGTTTTTTACTATGGTGGTTGTTCCAGCCACTATAATTCTCGTTCATATCAAATGCCAAGATGATATTAAGCTATTAACTTGGTGGTAGCATAACATAACAGAACAGTGATAGCTTAATACATTGTAAGGTTTTATTAGAGTACAAAATAATATGCATTTATTATTTTAATAATTTGTTTGAAACAATTAGTGAACCAGTCGCATTTCTGCAGTGTGACTTCCAAGAGTGGTTGAGCTGATTAAAGCCTCCGTCACAGCTCAGTTGTGGAAATAAAAAGTTGGGTGTCTGTAAAGTTAGTTGGGGCTTTTATGAGCCTGAGAAGTTAAAGGGATCAAAGTTGGCGCGTTTATCACTCAAATCGCCACCAGGACACCTTCCTTTTGTTTTAATCAAGCTCCATGAATCAGTGTCATGATGGAGTTTGCAGTGTTTTATTCCCGCGGGGAGTTGGGGAATATATGATAATCATCATTTAGGCGGCAACAATTGCGTTGGAATGGTACTTATTATTAATAGCTGGGAAGCGCAGTATTTTTCCGATACCTAGGCTATTAACTATTTTTAGGCTAACCAATATGCAAAAAAATGACTATCGGATCAAATTAACATCTTCGGTTTATCACTGAGCTCTGATGCTGAAAGTATATTAAAGAAGTTGAGGGTGGAAATGAAAATCTATCTTGGTGGGAATTAAAGAGTTGAAGACTAATCTTCCATCTCTCCCCATTTTTTGGTTTTAAATTTTCATTTAATATCCACATTGTATAAATTAAGCTTTAAATCTTTAGAAACTGCATTCGACAATGCGGGAAAGATATTTGTAATGATTCCACAGCCAATGACATTTTGAACTTTTTTAGTTAGCTCATTTCAATTGAACATTTCATAAGAAGCAATTTTTACCGACTTAGTTATATTCCATATGGTCGTTGTGTGGTTCTGCTTGATGAATATATATATATATATACCCTCTCTCCCTACCTCTGCACTTTGAACATAATACAAACTATTGTAAATCTTAGAAACACGGGAATATTTAGCACACGGATGAAGTAAGGATTGCTGAATTCAGAAGTAGCCAATGTGTCTACTTTTTTCTTTATTAATTTATTAGGAAACTTTTATTTACACCTTAGCTTAAATACAACGAAAATGTGAAAATGATAATTTTCTACTACATAAATGATAGCACGAATCTATTATCCTTATGAAATAAGGATGTATCTCCCTCACTTAGAGTTTTGAACAAAAAAAATAGAAACATGAATATCTACTAATTCTAAAATAACATTAACATTATTAAGCAAGCTATATGTGTTTGTTTCAGAATGAATCAGACAAGTGGTATTCCTATCCTGTTTTGGCTAGTTTCATACTCTTCTTCTTACTCCCTCTCATTGTAATCATCATCCTCTACATCCTCATACTTCGAGGGGTTCGCAGATCTGTGAAATTCACACAGCCACTTCATCTAATTGATAGCCGAAAGCGACTTCTGTCCCCAACAGATAATGACCACTCGTTGGAAAAATCACGAAAACACTCACTTTCGGTAATCAGGAGAGGTCGAAGTATTAGCATTCAGATTGGACAAGATAAGAGTGCTGCAAGACAACATCAAGAACTCTGTCAAATACAGCAAGCCCAACATCAGGCCCGCTTGAGGACCAATAAGGCGCTTATTCGAATACTGGGTATGCTTTCACTTTGTTCAAATTGTTAAATCCTGTAGTGAAAGTGCAGTTAGGTAAGTTTCTTCGTTTATTTGCATTAATTCTCTAAATTAACATCACTGAACTTCTGATAATTCCAAACTATCAGTTTTCATTGATATTCTTTCTAATATTGATGTTAGTTATAGGAGCAGTATGTTATTTTAATATTTAATAAGGTTGCGGATGCTAAATTTACAAAAATATTTATTAGGAATTTTCTCCTGAAAGTGGGCGGAATTCGGTTGGGGTAGGAGGACTGAATGAAATCAAAAGACAAGATGGCGCTTCGACAACTCTAGACTAAGGTTTTTAGAAATGCAATAAAATTAAAATATTTATAATTTAAAATATTCTTTTTTACATGAATTATCTGATGAATGGAATGGCTTAATGTAGAAAATTTGTCAATTTCTACGGAATATCAAGCACTATTTCTGATTTACTACAGTTCAAAATACGTAATTTCTATCACAGTGGGTATGCCAGAATTCAAAACTTTTCGGTTATTGTTCGATTAAATTTATGAAAATTTTGAATCGTGTTGAATGTGGAGAGAAATAAAATAAAAATAATGTTATTTGGCTTTATTCTTCAAATTTAAAGGAAAATTTAAATTTTAGAAGTTCGACTCAAATTTCTATTCACAATATATAGCCAGGTAGTAAGTATTTGAAAAAGGTTACTGACAAA